TCAGTTTCACAAGTATGCCCTCCAGGATTCATGCTAGCACCCTAGCTCTCTGCTGCTCCTTTCACCTCTTCTCCTATGCTGAATTTCCCTAGGCACAGGCTACTCTTTTCTCCTTATAACCCTCCTGTTTCTGCTATGTTCCCCTTTGGTTCTCCGTCACACCCTGCCTTTTCCCCACACTCTCTTTGTGTTCATCTTTTGCTCTCCCTGACCCCTTTTCTATCTCTCTACTCTGCTCCTGCTTTTCTCAAGGCCAAGTCTATTGGCTGTCAACCATGTTCAGTCTACTACCTTCTCTGTCTCTACTATGGATTCTTCCAGATACCTCTGGATGCTTTCTTCCTCATATCTACAATAAAAGCCTTCTTCTTAACCATTCCATGGAGTGACATACCTTAAGTTTTTTTTATAGTCAGTACTGTTGCAAAGTATTGACAAGAAGTAACTTGTGGGAGAAAGTATTTGTTTAGGTTTACATATCAAGGAAAACAATCCATTATGTTGGGAAAAGCATGAAGGCAAGAGCAGGAGACCATGGGTCACATTACACCGGCACTTAAGAAGCAATATGAAAAGAAGTAAGTTTGGATGATAAAACCTCCAAGCCTGTCCACAGTGACCAACTTCCTCCATCAAAGCTGCACCTCCTGAAGGTACTATTATCTTCCCAGATGGCATTGAGGAGCAAGTGTTCAACTGTTCTGGGGAACATTTCATATTCAAGCTATAACATAAGACATTTAAAAGCCCAAAATTAAATGACTTCATCTGTGTTTTGAGAAAAGTGGGGAGTATAACATGGGAAATGTGAAGGTGTGCCAAATTTTAAAGAAATGGGTGTCAAGACATACCCATAACAAAGGAAGACCAGCTCTGTGGCATGGACAATGGAAGCATTTGAAAGACTCATCTAAACATGTCAAAGCACAGCTGAGGGTTCCACCAGAACAGAAGTCAAAAGTGAGTGATCAGCGATGAAGATTTAGGATGAATAAGCATGAAATCGATCAATAGGAAAGTATGTGAAACGAAGTCTCCCAAAGGAGGAGACTGTGAGCAGTTAGTGAACATGGAAGCAACAAAGGACAGAAGTTATTTGCCTTAATAAAGTTGAGCTTCAAATACATTTAGAAAAAGCTCTTAAAAAGGAAAATTGAAAATAAAATATAAGGGTAAAAACTATGAAGAACACTTACCTTCACTTGGTCCACACTGCTGTGGGTATCAAATTCAATACATATCTTCTAAATCATGTCACTTTACTTGAATATGATACAAATAATCACGAAGTATGCCATAATTTGATGTAGTTTGTCATCTGGAATGTGCATGTGGAGTGAAATTGGGCAACTACCTGATGAGAAGACATGTTTAAATCACTCACACTATCAGGTATAGGGTGAATGGACCTTCATCATGTGTTTATATTATGGGCTAATTTACATAATACATGATCCAGATTATCTTGTTAATGAAGGAAAAATATGGAATGTGCACTTAAAATTATGATTGCATTATTTCATTGAACACCTCATTCTAATTAGTGTTTACATCTCCAAATATATGTCAACCTGATATCTCCACCTTTACTCAGTGACTATGCAATAATTATTGTTTCTTATTTCATTTTAAAAACTAAAATTCAATTTTCTTTTTACTTTCACAATATATTTTATTAAGCTTAGTTTACCCTTAAATTATGGCACATTTATATACTTTTATGCATACTGTTGAAATACTTATTTGTATGCTAAGTAACAGCAGATGATATGAGAGATAATCAAACACTGTTTGATTTAGTGCTTTTGAAGTTAAATTTAAAATAAATATGTAAATGACTAGGCTATTAAATTTGAATCTATTGAACCAAACCCTACATTGTTCAGAGTTTCACATGAAGATTATAACATTGAACATTTGACTATTCTTACACATTAAAGACACAATAACCCTCAGTTGCCAAGCTAGGGTTCTAGATTAAAACGGGGGTAATGTTTAAAAGAATAACACTATAAACAGAAATTTGCAAAGGTATGTGGATGACAGAATTCATCCGCAACCAAATGTTATTCAGTATGTATTTAGTATATTTTCAAAGTAAGAGTAATAGAAGCAAAATGACATATAGCTAAAAAATATCTGATTATGTATCATGATAAACATGAATAGAAACAGATGATGAGGATTAAAAACAAGAAGTTATGAAGTTTGTAAAATCCTAGTAAAATAAATTGAAGTGAGCTCAATAATATGGTAAATGCCAGAGCAATGGGAAGTCGTGAGCTTGCACTGAAAGCATGTGGAGGGCTAAAGAGAACTTTCTGAGAAGTGCCTCAAGTTTAAGGCTCTGTTCAGTCCCTAACTTCTTACAAAAAGAGCTTATGTTTTGTATAAATGAAAACTGGAGTGCTCCTGGATTTTTTTGTAGGATATAAGGGCAGAAGAGATTATGTACCCATTCTAGCTCACCAAGAGTTCCCATACAGAAATTCTGGAGAAATTCTTGATTTCCTGGAGACATACTGTGGGAAAAACAGTGTTCTTACTTCTTCTGAATATGTTTTAAAACCTGCATGTAGGTTCAGTAGCAAAATGGAAGCTGGAGTTGAAGACTTGAATTATAACCACAATCATGAATGAGATAACTTGCACCAAGCATTACATAAATTGGACCATAATATAAACATATTTTTCGGTAGAATAAAATAGAAGATTTTTGAACCATAGACTGGGGATGCAATTCAGTGGTTGAATGCATGATTAACATAGGTATAAAATCTGGGTTCAATGGCCAGAACCCAAAAGCAAATTTAAACAAACTAAAAAAAAAAAGTGAATTGAGTCACATTTCTAAGTGATGAAATCAGCCTAAAACTTGTGTGAAAACTATAACATATGAAGCAAATGAGTTCAGCTCTGACTGCTCCATTCACATAAATGCATATCAGGTGTTGGAGGGACATCACAAGTTTGGCTCCTGGTCTATAACATGAGTTACTGGATCACTGAAGCTATGGAAATTGAAGTGTATGGAAACCCAATATGCCCATGTTTCCATTATGACAGCCATATATCTTGCAAGAAAATTATGGCCAGTTGCACTGTCTGAACATGCCTTCTAGAATGGTTTGTGTGTTCCAAAGGTTAATTAATTCCTAGGGGAGGACAGACTTACAAATGGATGACCTTCCTCGACAGATTTCTTCACAAACCACTACAGTGGCTATAGAAGTGGCATCTTTTATGTAGAATTTAAACAAATTACATCTTAGCTTTAAATCAATGGAGGCATTTTATTTTCTAGAATTTTGCTGTGTAATTTAATAATAGAATTATTTGAACTAAAACTATGCATAGAAACTGGTGTCAAAAATACTATTTTTTCCTTCATGTACCTTCATAGGATGCAGGTTTATATGCTCTCATTGAATTTTTGCCATATTATATTTTCATCATTTATGCCAACGAGATAAAAATTTCTGATGTTCTATTATCTCTAAAAATAAGACAAAATACTTTGCCTAAGTAGTCAGGCTAAACAGTGAAATATCAGGATTTGTGCTTATTTAAAAGGTCAACAATTTTATTCTTATATTTCCATGGCAAAGACATTTTGGGCATGTCAACTGAAATATAGTCTTTGGTCCTTTAATACACCATATTGTTTTTAAAAATGTCCCATGCACATCACTTAAAGATGAGTAACACATCAACTTTCTGGTCATTTTTTATAGTCTCCTGTTATAACATTTATTCTTCATCTATGATTTTAAGTGAAAAACAAATAGAAATAAAAGAAACTATCTAGATTTCTTCCAAAATTTCAGAAATTGTAGGATACAGATAAAGATGTTAGTATATATTTCTAGAACTTTCAACATTTTAATAAAAAATTCTTCACTTAGTGATGCTGAAAATATAACCCAGTTAAAAGCACTTGGTGATCTTGCAGGGGACCCGGGTTCAATTCTCAGTACCCACATTACAGGTATCTCACAGTTATCTGTAACTCTAGTTTTAGAAGATCTTAGTCCCCTAAAGAATTTACAGTACAGATTTGTTTTACTGTAGACACACACACACACACACACAGAGACAGAGAGAGAGAGAGAGAGAGAGAGAGAGAGAGAGAGAGAGAGAGAGAGAAAGAGAGAGAGAAAGAGAAATTAATGTCACCCAAGACATTTTTTTAACGTGAAGATGAGAATAGGTCACCTAAGTTTGTTTCAAAAATCAGCCATGCCATGATAAGCAGCATACCTTTGAAAAAGAATATAAAGAGACTATCATTTCATAGGAGTGCAAAAAAAAAAAGGTATTCTCTTTCTCCTGGCAGGACTGGCTCAGGATTTTGAACAACTATTTTAAGGTTATAGCAACACAGTTGCTCCTGGTTCACTCAGTTGCTTATCTACCCTAAAAATGATTTTCCTCTCAAACCCAGTTTCTATATTCAAATATGAATCAAGCAGACTTCAGGGTTGTGACAAAAGATGGAATTAATACAGAGTAAAGTTATGAATAAAGAGTTAATGATTTGTTTATCAAATTCAGTCTTAGATGAGGCAAGCACATAGCTTAGGAAACAGTTGATTTTTTCTTTCATTTCTACTAATAAAACAAGTCTAAGAACATTATTATAGTTTTCAGGCTAGAACAAATACAGAGAAAATTATATCTGTCATTCTTAAAATCTTGGAGCATGACATTTGATCTATTTGAGAGTACCATATATTTCTTACTTTAATAAATTTTCTCTTTAGTTCAAATTGGCTTCTTAGTGCAGGATTTTAATTCAACCCAGCATCATGAAAGGCTTGGCTGTCAGCACAAACTCAAGAACTCACAATTGACTGTACGATAAATGCCCACTTTTCCTGTGTTCCTTATAATAAATTGCTAACATTTTAGTGATTTTCTTTTAAACTTTCACAGGCTGTGGACTTCAAGTGGCCAGTATAACAATTGGTGATGGCCTTCTCTGTCTCTTTCTCCCCCAGTCTGTTCCCAGTATTCTAGAGGAGTGTTTGCCATTTTTGGACTCTATGACAAGAGGTCAGTGCACACCTTGACCTCATTCTGCAGTGCCCTACACATCTCCCTCATCACACCCAGCTTCCCCACTGAAGGGGAGAGCCAGTTCGTACTGCAGCTAAGGCCTTCCTTGAGAGGTGCACTCCTGAGCCTGCTGGATCACTATGAATGGAACTGTTTCGTCTTCCTGTATGACACAGACAGGGGTAAGTCCTATCCTATATTAGAGAAGATCGAACCTTCAGTCTGAGATGTCTTTGTATCATTTATGTTACTTAGCAAAAGCATTTTGATCCTTAATGTTTCTAAAACCACAGAGAGTAGTTTGGGCACATTATCAATGTTTTAATTTCAACTCCCAAAGTTGATCATTTAAAATGATTCTAGCATGGTGTGGTAACTTCCCCTTTTGATCACAGTGCTTGTGAGGCAAAGACAGAGGCAGGTGGATCTCCCTGATTTGTAGCCTGGCCTAAGAAGCAAGTTCCAAGCCAGCTGGAGTTACACAGTTAGACCCTGTCTCAAAGCAAAGAGAAACAAGTAGATTCTTATTTCAGATCAAATTGGCTCTTGATGTTTGTTAAATTTAGGCCGTAGAGAAAAACAAACCAAGGTGCTTTTCATCTACCAGTGGCAACTGTCCCAGAACACTCTTTGATTTCTGGTTCACCAAACTTCGTGCAAACATTTCAACTGAATGACTCTATTGCTAATTCTCCAGCAGATACCAGTGGGGTGTTCACTAGATCAATCAGTTCCACAGCTGTGTGTCTAAAGAATGCTTCAGATCTCAGAGATGAAGGCTCAATCACAGTGAGATAGCCTCTTGCCTCAGATGCCACCCACAAACTGTAGGCTGTTTATCTGTGCTTTTGACTAACCAGCTTCGAGTACATATTTATCATGCTGCATATTGGGGTTCTAGTGACTGTCTCATTCTGCTTGATTAATTAGAAAGATCAAATCACAGAACTCAGGATCACTTTGCTTACGTCTTATATACTTGTAACATTATATAATTGTTCCAAGGAGAGAGAGATGTTTGGCAAAGCATAGAGGAGAAATTTTTCCTTTGGCTTGCTTTGGCATGCCTTCTTTGGTCCGTTTCATTTCTGGTGAGCATTATATTTGCGGAAATGGTTTTTGCCCATTGCATAACATATTTTCATAAATCTAACAAATAATTTTGTAGATGGTATTGTTTATATGTGTCCTATCTCAAAACAGTTCGGTGCCCAGGGTGGTGATGGATAGATAAAAGAATTTGTTTGTGTAGGTGAGGGTTGCGTCATATTGTTCTATATCTACTTTAGGAACTCTACTGCATGTGTGCTTTTGTTTTAAAACATGTGTAAAACTCATTAAATGCTGTTTTAAAAATAACACAAAGAGGGTTGCTCTCTCTGCCTGGACTCTTAGGGAAGTGCCTGGACCCTACCCTGAGTGAAATGATAGACTCTAGATATCCGCTATGCAGAAGGAATTGGCAAAAGGGTGGGAGGATGGGGAGGATGGTGGGGGTGTGCGGGAGGAGGGGAGGGAGAGGGAACTGGGATTGACATGTTAAACAAGCTATTTAAAATTAAAATAAAAAAAGAAGAAAATAATAATAATATAGGAGGGTGGCATAGCAGTTAATGCTAAAGGAAATTAACATATTCGTATCAACTCATATCAAAGTAAAAGTACTAATACCAGCTCTTTTGTTGAAACCCCTTCCAGATGGAATTAAAGGTGTATAGGAAAGGGTGTCCTCAAAGATGGACACAGAACTTTTAGTGTGTATAATAATATCATAAGTGCCATCATATTCATCTTCTCAATCTTACGCTACCAATTACTACACTTGCTAACTTTCTGATATCAGCTTCTTCTTTAGAAACCCTTTCAGATAGGACTATAATGGCATAGGTCAGGAGTGGCCACACCTGGTTGAATTCATCTGTGACACATAAAGGTGCCATTCTCATCTTACTCTTCTCCATTTCTGGTTACTAATTACCACACTTCCTAACATTCAGATTTCTACCAGGACTCTGATGATTGACTTCACAACCAAATTTTATAGACAAAATTAGGAATGATGATAAAACTAAGATAAATGGCAAGTGGAGAAAAATGAGTTTAGAATCTTTCAGATTCTATGCAAGTATAATATGAGAAAGGATGAATTATTCATCCTTAATACTTCACTGAAGTATTTCCTAGACCAGGGAAAGAAAATCTTCCCAACCCATAAACTAAACACAAAACTTCCTGAAGTCTGTAATTCTCTATTAGTCTCTCATGAAAACACTCAAGCAATTATCTGTATTATAATAATGAACTCATCAGGAGTTAGGATACATTTTTATAATAAATACAAACACATTTAGTTATAAACATTTACTTACACATTTGCTGTCAGATGCCAAGTATGAGGATAATCCATTCACAAAACAGGAAGATAACCTTATGTGTAACTTCACCTTCCTGCTTGTTCAAGGAGAGCAAGAGAGCCAAGAAAGATGAGGGTATGTAAAAAGTCACAGAGAGCCTTGTAACTGAGTTAGGAACAGTAGGCAGAAATGGGCAAGGAACCTCTTTCTCTCCATAGCAGAACTTTAGATGTGATGTTCACTTTCTGCCATACTTAACTCAGAGGTCCACTGGCTGGTTCCACCTTGGGTTAAAAAGGGAACAATGGGTTAAGAATAGAAAGGGTGAAGTCAATTCAGTGAGCCTCCCTATTGTAGAAAAATAGAGATCCATGCTTTCCTGTTGCATTGTACTGTTTCTGATTAAGATTGGAGGAGTTACATTGAAGAAGAGGGGAAGAAAGAATGTAAGAGTTAGTAAGAAGATAGGAAGAAGCCAGGCATTGGTGGTGCACGCCTTTAATCCCAGCACTAGGGAGACAGAGGCTGGTGGATCTCTGTGAGATCAAGGCCAGCCTAGTCTACAGAGCGAGTTCCAGGACAGCCTCTAAAACAGTAAGGAGAAACCCTGTCTCAAAAAACACCAAAGAAGAAGAAGAAGAAGAAGAAGAAGAAGAAGAAGAAGAAGAAGAAGAAGAAGAAGAAGAAGAAGAAGAAGAAGAAGAAGAAGAAGAAGAAAGGCCACAGAGCCTTAGAAAGGATAGGGAGGGGTAAGGGAGAGAGAGTTGGCAGAGACAAAGGGTGCTAGAGAGATTCCAGCAGAAAGTAATCAGAACACATTGTATTCTGGTATTAACTTATCAAACAATAAAATTAATAAAATATTGCAGTGATGAAAATTTTGGAGGATTTGGAGGTAAAGGCTGAATGTTACCCTGAATGAAAGCTATAATCTAAGAAGGACTGCCAAAGAAGGTGATTGAGCAAAGACCAGTGAACAATGGCAATGGTGGTCACAGAAAGAATAAAGCAGAGTAAATAGCAAAACAAGCGGCCAGTTGACAGATAGTCCTGAGGATGAATCGGTGCCTTCAGTGAAGGTTTGCTTCAGGCAGCCTTCTAAGCATTTGCTAGCTTAGTGTGCCCTAAATGGGAAAACAAGGGTAGTGCAAGTCAATCCCTGTGAACGACTCTGCTGTGTCAGTCTGGTTGACATCTGTCTTAACTAATCTTCTATTGCTGTGGAAAGACACCATGACCAAGGAATCCTTATAAAAAAAAGTATTCAGCAGGAGGCTTGTTTACATTTTCAGAGGTTTAGCTCATTACCATTATGACTGGGAGCTCAGTGACACACATGACACTGAAAGAGTAGCTTGGAGATTCATATTCTGATCCACAGGCAGGCATAGGAAGAAAGAGGCTGGCCTGGAATGGACTTTTGAAACCACAAAGCCCACCCCTCAGTGAAACATTGTCTCTAACAACAGCACAACTATTCAAACAAAGCCACACTTATATGAACCTATGGGGGTCCTTCTCATTCAAACCACCACAGCATCTTAATGGAGCTAGATGTACATTGTTTATTGATAGTTCCACGTAGGTGGCTATTCTTTGTCTATCTTTTCTTTTTGGTTATCGTTATTCATCATTAACAAGAAACAACAACAACAGACAGATAGGACTAAGGCCTTTGAAGTTCTTCACTGGAAGGTCAGTGTTACCACAGCCTGGATATTGAAAATTACAACAAACAAATGGAAAGTGAGTGCACAGGAATCCAGAGCCTGATTTTTACCAAGTAGATTATATTAAAGTTTTTCTGAAATATTAAATTTATGTGCAGAATTTTTCATTTGCTAGATCTCTTAACGTACTTCAAAAATTGAGGTATTCAAATTTGTCTGAGTTCTAAGATGGTACATGTCACCTTAACAATATCTGTATCAGACACTGTACTCATTTCATTTGATACTCCTGCCACAGATGCTTTCACCATTGTTTGACAACATGGCTCAGTTGAATCCTGTATCCTAACAACATACAGAACAGCAAGCAAAATGCTCAAGGAACGTCTGAGATTTATATCAAAGGAACTGTGTTAAATCCAGTGGAGGGGACATGTCTCAGACTGTATACACAGATCACAGTTGGAAGAAGGTCAGCTCAAAGTACAAATACAGCATCTTCTAAAAGGCATGGGCAAATTCATGACCAAAGTAATAGAAGACTGTGATGCTCTTTGTGGGGGACACAAAGGAAGCAGAAATAATCAAAATGTCTATGAAAGTATGAATGAGCAAAGAAAGCAGACCAGGTAGCAGAGACCCAAGCATGGAAGTGAAGTGTTTTATGGAGTTTTGTGGATGGGAAGAGGTTGGGCTTGACAGGATCCTATGCTGGATGGACTTATTGGGAATTGGAAGTAAAGACTGACCGCCTTAGCAGAGATCATCTTAGATCCATGGAGGGTCTTGCTGAATAACCTCTTGAAAACTCCTGGATATCTAGGGGACAAAATTCAAAACAAGTCTATTCAATCCATGACAGTCATCCAGGATTCTTTTTACCATTTATCTTTTCTTGGTTTGTGGTGGTGCATGCTTTTAATCCCAGCACTCAGAAGCAGAAAAAGGCAGGTCTCTGAGTTTGAGTCAGCCTGGTCTACAGAGTGAGTTCCAGGACAGCCAAAGTTACAGAGAAAAAAAACCTATCTCAAAAATAAACCATTTCATCTTTACTTTGGGGTATTAATAAGGTGGATTTTAGTATCCAAGAAAAGTTATCATTGTCACATAAAATATTATGCTGTCACTATTTTCCAAAGTTCTAGAATGTTTTTCTGTTTAATGAAAAAGATTAAGGGCATAAGAACCATGCTCTACTGTAGAATGAACTCAGTTGTCATCTTTACTGCTGCTAAGCCTGGGCTGTCAATTTGAAAGGTGGATAGAAGAATTTTGTGACAGGTAAAGCACTAAGATTATGTTACAGACTTGCCAGGTGATATGCCCACACCTCACCAAAAGCAGTGCCATAGTGTGGGGTATTTCCTGTGAGCATAGAATGTACTGTACATCACACTGTGGAAGACTATTTAGCCTTAACTAAAAATGATGCTAAACCAAGAAGTATTTTCTGTGTATTTTCATAGTGCACTCCTTCATTTCATTGGTAACTATTTAGCCTTCCATAGATGAATTTTTAAGAGAATACGTAAGAGAAACATTTCAGTCAATTTTTACTTAGGGAATATTTGAATTATGACTCACTTAAAAATCTGTTCTCTTTGTAAATCTCTTAAAATACCTTAAACACAACCTTGAAGTGCCACCTCAGAAATAGAAAATGAACATAATCTGAAATTAACATGAACATTTGTCACAGATGCACACTAATGCTGTTCTTTTTTGGTAGTTTTACATAGATCATAGTGAAATATCTTAATGTCTCTGTAGATTTTCCCCCATGAAATATATCTTACTTGAACCATTCCACTTACATAATTTTTCGAATTTTAAATTATCTTCAATATATTCACCAGTATTCACTCAATTATACAGAAAATAATCCTTATAAAATTATACAATTTCCAAGCCTGGTAGTGAACACCTGTAGGCCTCTTCTTAGGAACTAGCGGCAGGAGAATGATAGCCCAGGCTAGCCTTGCCTACATAGTAAGTTCAAGGTCAACAAAGAAAGACCATGTTTTAAGTAAATACCAAAAAATCTAGCAAAATCAAAATCTGCCTGTCTGTTAACTCTAAAAACCACTCTTTTAAAGTAAATTTATATTAGAAATACCCCTCCCCAAAAGAAATGTGCTAGTTTTCACAGAAACCATACCCAGTTTATCAAATATTTCAAGGTTGTAATTCTCTTAAGCGGTTACTTATTGGAGAGGACAAGACTGGGGGTAACCTGTGGCTATCGGTGGTAGGTGCATATCACTGCAGTGGGGAAAAGCCAGTAATTTTTGAAGGGGTAAACAGCAAAGGATGAAACGAAACACCTCAAAATTTTATTTTAATCAAAACAGATCTCTTACTAGTGCCTGGACTGAAAACTATTATTTCTTGTCTAAAAGCATGGAAAGTAGGTGGCTTTATGCTTACTATTTCTCAAGAGAACATAGCTATACAGTAACAGAATTAAGCTGTTAGGTAAGACATTACAATAGCAAAGGTATTCATCAAACACAGAAGCACAGGACCAGTGGTGACATATGTCCATACAGGGCCAAGGCATCCTGAGAAAAGGACCATTGGAGTAACACAAGCATTATAAGTGGGTACAAAGAACATCCCAAGTTAGCAAGGGCCCCTTATGCAGCTGCAATTGGTACAGATTGACAAGATGCAAAGTGAAATAAATGTAACTAAGGTTTTTCTATTTTGACATAGAGAAAGATATCAGAATTCCTCTCTAATATTCTGTACAATCAAAGTTAAAGCTGTTGAATTATTCAAGAAATAACAATAGTCAAAGTATATCAACCATAATGGCACGAGTTAAAATATGGAAGTCTTGCATACATGTGTTAGGTCAGTTTGCTTCTGGAAACGCCCGGGCCCCTGTATGTTGGTAAACATATTCCTCTGGTGAAAGTGTAGAAATCACTGTGGAAGGGAAGGTTGACACACAGAGTCATACCTGGGACTCCACACTCAAGTTTCCATAAATAGAATTTGTCTTTTCAGTTATTGTTTGTTTAATTGGATGGTTGGTTTTTTTTCTGGTTTTTCATTGTTTTTAATGTCCACTGGTGTTTTCCCACGGGTGGTGGGTCTCCTGGAACTTGAGTTACAGACAATTCTGAGCTGCCATGAGGGTGCTGAAAATGGAACATTGGTCCTCTGGAAGAGCAGTCAGTGCTTTTAACATCAAAGTCATTTCTCCATACACCCCACCCCCATGCATTTTCTTAACTGAAATTATTTGGTCTCTAGAACAAGAGTCATTAAACTACAACCAAGGGACAAGTTTTGACTAGCATCTCTTTCTTGTAAACAAAAATCTTATTGGAACACATCACACCCAACCTTTAGGTGTTTTCTGTGTCTGCTTTTCCAGTGATATAGTGGAATTGATTTCTAACAATGGAGACTATTAACCCAAAGAAATCTAAAGCTGAAAACAGCAATATAATAATGTATAGCTTCCATGTAGAACAGAGCATGACTCAGTCCTCATCGGAAGAGCTTCCTCATGCGGTAAACAAGAATTAACACAGAGGCATGGCTGTATAGTGTACAGACACTGAGAGACTCTGGAGCACTCTACCCTTAACACAGTGTCTTTATCAAACTGTTCTTCTCAAGGATCAGGGATTTGTGTGGGAAAGGATGAAGAAATATGGTAAGAGACAGAGGTAGTGGATGACTCCAAGGAGACAATGAATTCCAGACACAGGACTGACACACATGAAGCCGGAGACTGTGCCAGCATGCACAGACACTGCACAGGCTCAAGTCCAACAAAAACTTAGCATCAAGAAAGGGAACTAGAGGTCTCACTGGTGCCAGATCTGCCTTCTAGCCTATGATTCCCTCTTCCTCCTATTCTACCCCCCACTCAACCTTCCTGTTCCCCCATGACGTGCTCACTCTTCCTCTTGTCCCCCTCTCTTCTTCCCAGCTCCCACTCCCCTTTACCCCTCACCATGTTCCCAATCTGTTCAGAAGATCTTGCCTCATTCCTCTTCCCTGGGGTACCATGCATATCTCTCTTAGGTTATTTCCTGTTTCCCAGAATCTCTGTCAGTGGAAGTGCAGACTGGCACTATCCTGATCCATGTCTAAAATCCATATATGAGTGAGTACATATCATGTTTGTCTTTTTGTGACTGGGTTACCTCACTCAGGATGGTTTCTTCTAGTGCCATCCATTTACCTGCGAATTTCAAGATTCCATTGTTTTTTTTCTGCTGAGTAATACTCCATTGTGTAAATGTACCACATTTTCTCTATCCACTGTTCAGTTGAGGGGCATCTAGGTTGCTTCCAGGTTCTGGCTATTACAAATAATGCTGCTATGAACATAGTGGAGCAGATGTCCTTGTTCTATGAATTTGCATCTTTTAGATATATGCCTAAGAGTAGAATTGCTGGGTCTTGTGGTAGATTGAGTCCCATTTTCCTGAGGAATCTCCATACTGATTTCCAAAGTGGCTGTATGAGCTGGCACACCCACTAGCAGTGGAGGAGTGTTCCCCTCTCTCCACATCCTCTCCAGCATAAATTGTCTTCGGTGTTTTTTATTTTAGCCATTCTGACAGGAGTGAGATGGTATCTCAGAGTTGTTTTAATTTGCATTTCCCTGATTGCTAAGGATATTGAGCACTTTCTTAAGTGTCTTTTGGCCATTTTAGCCTCCTCTATTGAGAATTCTCTATTTAGTACCCCACTTTTTAATTGGATCTTTTGGTGTTTTGGAGACTTGCTTCTTGAATTCTTTGTTAAGTAATAGTGGAGAGACCACCTTGAATGCCCATTCCTGATAATGAACTTGATGTCTATAACCATCCTGGAGCCTTCATCCAGGGACTGATGGAAGCAGATGTGAACACCCACAGTTAAACACTGAACTGAACCCATGGAACCCAGTGACAGAGAGAGAGGAGCGATGAGCAAATTCGCAAAGAATGGGCTGGCAAAACCAGCAGAGACAGCTGATCTGAACAAGGGAGAGCTCTTGGACCCCAGACCGACAGTTGGGTGGCCAGCATGGGACTGATCCAGACCCCCATAGTGTGACAGTCAGTGAGGAGGCCTGGGCAACCTATGGGACCCTGGGCAGTGGATCAGTGGATCAGTGTTTATACCCGGCATACAAACGAACTTCATGTGTCCATAACACAAAGAGGGATGCTCTCTCAGCCTAGACTCTTAGGGAAGTGCCTGGACCCTGCCCTGAGTGAAATGACAGACTTTAGATATCCCCTATGTGGAAGGAAGTGCGGATAGGGTGGGAGGCTGGGGGGGGATGGTGGAGGGGTGCGGGAGGAGGAGAGGGAGAAGGAACTGGGATTGATATGTGAAACAAGTTATATAAAATTAAAGTAATAAAATAAAAATTTTTTAAAAAGAAAGGGAACTAGACAGGAAGTGCCTCCTCTAACCAAGAGCTACTTACAACTGATTTCTACTGGGAAAGGGAAAAAATCATTTTTTCAAATACAGTATCACTGGGTATATTAACCAAATTCCCAGCAGACCATATGCTCAGGTGTAATTGGCCAATACAAAAGGACTTTTTGCTTTACTGTGTGCTTTTTGTTTGTTCTGGTTTTTTTAGTTTGTATTTTTTATTTTCCATTATTTTTTTTGAAGTTGGTTGTCAGCTGGGAGGAACTGGAAGAGTTTCAAGAAGGAAAACAGCATCAAAATATATTTTATAAAAAATAATTTAAAATGTTAAATATTTACTAGCTGATCCTTTAGAAAACTTTGAAAATTCTTAGTTTAGACTCTTCGTTGAAAATTGATTACTTAAATAGAGTCATCTTATATAGGAAAGGTATTCAAGTCTATGAGATACATGTAGAATATATGAATTCATTGCTAAATAACAAATTTACATAATGCTAACATATCTTCAAAATTACTCATAAAAACAATTCATTAAATATGTGTGAAGTTTGTTATTTTATTTTGTAAAAGGATGTGAATGTAGAAGCTGTGGAAACAATATTATTAAACTTTAGTATCATCAATATAGGGATTTTCACTTTTTTTGACCTAGGAGGATCTAAGTTGCCATTTACAATGGAATACTCTGTTGATGATGGGGTAAGTAGGATGCAACACTTCCCACTTAAATACTATTTGCAGATCTTCAGGGTTCCATTGACTCATAGGTCTGACCAAACCCTTTATTTAAAAATATCAAACCAAGTTTGTTTACCTTTCTGCATGAAATAGGTCTGTGGAAAAGAAAGCTGTTTCCAAAAAATGTTTCAGGCATTTAT